GGTCACTTTTGACAGTCAATACAACTTTGCTATTTTATGCATCCCAAGCCAAGGAAACAGATAGGTAGATGCCTTGTCTCACAAACCAGAATACGTCTTCACCTGATCAGATAGCCCAAGATCAGTTCTAATGGGATCCAATTTGTGATGATGCAACAAAGAATGACCTGAATAGGACTGGGTAGAGTCCAACAAGGACCATGGCTGGTAAAAGCAAAGGATGAAGGATAAGGAAGAATTCCATGGTACTGATTGAATCCCACCCTCCTGAAAAAGCAGCAAAGGAAAAATAGTGCGGGAAATTCTAGCATTCTAACATAGAATTCTTTCATTCAATCAATCAAACAACATTTACTAAATATTCACTATATGCGAGGTACTATTACTAGATGCTAGGGGATGCAAAAACACAACAGGTCCTTCCCTCCCCCAAATAGTTTACATCCTATTTAGGGGGAAAACAACATGCAAAAATATCAGTATATACAAGGTAATTTTCAAGTGGCAAGGCAACTCAAATGGATCAGGATATGCCTCACATAGGAGATAGCACTTTACCTGAGTTTTGAAGGAAAATAGGGGTTTTATGAGGCAAAAATGGGGAAAGAATGCATTCCAAGCATGGGAGACAGGCTGTACAAAGGAACGGAGATGGGGAATAGAACGTTGCACACAAATGGGAACAACTAGAGCAGTGTAGCTGGAGCACATGGGGCATGAAAGACAGTGATATGCAATAAGGCTGGGGAAATAATTTGGGCCATATCATAAAGAGCTTTAAATGTCAAACAGAGGAACTTATATTTTGTCCTAAAGAAAGAAGGAGCCCTTGGGGCTTCCTGAGCAGGGGAGCAATACTGTCAGACTCGTGCTTTAGAAATATCGACTTGGAACATGTGGAGGATGGATTAAAGAGGGGACAGAGGCGACGCAAAGAGACCAATCAGGAGGCTCTCACAATAGTCCCAGTGAGAGCTGATGAGAGTCTAAAGGAGAATGGCAGCCATGGGAGTAGAGAAAAGAGGATAGCTGCCAGAGGTGTTTTGGAGGTAGAACATCTGGAGATCAGGAGCAAGGTACTAAAAGTAAACATCAGTGATAGAACAAACATCAATTAGTTGTAAAGGCAGGAATCAATGTCAGAGAGAAATAGGGTCAAAAATAAAATTTCTGCTGCTCCCCCCCAAAAAAAAATCTAAGAAAAGTGAGTATAAGAAGCAAAATACAAGGAAATGGTACAAGAGTTTGGTGCCAAATGACAGATAAGGAGCCAAAGTAGACAAATGTCATTCATTTAATTTGTTATTCTCAAAGCCCTCATGGGTATATATGAGTTTTAAGCTCACGCATGCCCCAGCCAATCCAATTTTCCTCTTTGCCAGAACTTCTCTCAATTAAGACCCTCCCATGCTGCTAGTACGTTCTTAAGCTTCATGGAATGTATTGATAGGCACCCCCTGGAGACTGAGCATCACCATCTAAAAATGTCTGACAAGCCAGCACCCCCAACCACCAAACAAATAGCTGTTTGGAATGCCTTCCTACAAACCAAAGTCCCAAAAGGCAGAATTCTGCCATAATGACAGAATAATAGGGCAGGGTGAGATGTTAACACCTGGCAGTGAAAGATTTCTGATGGCCTTGGACATCAGCCCATGTGAGAACTTGTAAGGTTGGTATTTATGCCACAGATCTGGTGGGAAGTCTGACTGATCCACTAAAGCCCCTGCCAAAGTCTCTTTCACAGAAACTTTAGATTTCTTGATAGTCTTACTCTCCTCCCACAATCAGGAATCCAATTGTTATTGTTCAGTCATGTCCAACTTTCTGTGCCCCTTTGGGGTTTTCTTGGCAAAGACATTGGAGTGGTTTGCCATTTCCTTCTCCAGCTCAGTTTCATACATGAGGAAACTGAGGCAAACAGGGGTATGTGACTTGCCCAGGAACATGCAGCTAGTAGTGTCTGAGTCCAGATTTGAACTTGGGATGATTTGAACTCAGGATGACTCTTCCTGACTCTGTGCCTGGAACTCTATTCACTGCACCACCTAGCTGCCCCCTTCAAGTCTCTACTAAAGTCTCAAATTTCCTGACACGCCCTCCCATTACTAGTGCCTTCTGTCTATTGATCTCCAGTTTATCCTGTATAGCTTGTTCATACATGCTTGTTTGCATGCTGTCTCTCCCATTAGACTACTGCCAGCTCCTTATGAGCATGGACAGTGTTTTGCATTTCTTTGTATCCCCAGCACTTGACACATAGTAGGCAATTAATAAATGCCTACTGGCTGACTGACAAAGCAGTAGGAATAAATATACAAAAGTTAAACGGCTCCTGCCCTCAAGGAGCCTACTTTTTGCTACTGAAATGGAAAGACAATCCTAATTAGAGTATGAGTCACTGCATGCATGTGGTGGTACATCATAAGATATATTAAGCTACATTTCAGAAAATAAAAATCTGGAATATTTGCATGGAATCAGTTCCAATATTTTGTATTCTAAACCAAATGGACAGTTTCTGAGATCTATCTTCATTTCCCTCATCTTCTCACTCAGCCTGGGATTTCATTTTCATGGGTAAAGACTTCTTCCCACCCTATCCCCAACTCCTGTTATTATTTTTTTGGCTTGCACTCAGCAGCATGGTTAGAAAGGTCTATCCAGTATACTTCATTCTATATCCTTCATAGTTCATGAAGTTAGGGAATTTCAAAGTCCACAGAAGGACTTCCAAAGTCCTAAGAAGAACTTGAGGAATTTTTAAGATTTCTTAACAGTTTGGAAACTTAAGAATTTCTTAGCAGTTCTCTCCTAAATTTTTTGGAGTTATTTTTTATTCACTGGGAGCCATCATCTTGTCAATTACTTTATTCAGTTTTCTATCTGGGTTACACCTTTTGTTTTGTGCTATAGAATATATAGATTAAGGATTTCCAGGTCCTATTAAGAATCATTAAATTTTAATGTTGTGTCAAAGGTTTATTTTATGCTAATCTCTTGAATTTAGTCCTTCTCGTTCAGTCAATTTGTCCTTCACAAGGAAAACAGTCATTTAACCTCTCTGGGACTGTCATTTCATTTCTGAAATGAAAGGGTTAGACTAAGTGACCACCAAGGTCCCTTCCATCTCTCAAACTATAGTCCTATGGCAATAGTTGTCGTTAAGTCATTTCAGTTGATCTGACTCTTTGCGACCCCATTTGGGGTTTCCTTGGCAAAGACACTGGATTGGTTTGAGATTTCCTTCTCCATCTCATTTTACAGATGAAGAATTGAGGCAGACAGGGTTAAGTGACTTGCCCACAGTCACACAGCTAGTAAGTGTCTGAGGCCAGAATTGAACTCAGGTCCTCCTGAATCCAAAACTGGCACAACATCTGCTGTGCCATGGCAACAGTGGTCTAGTAATTAGAGAAGTGGATTGAGATTGAGATTCATAGGTTCAAGAGGGGGCAAACTGGTCAGCTGAGAGTTGTGGTAAACAAATTTCTGAGGAGGCAGTGTTACAGAAACAGTGGAAAACTAAGTTGAAGAACTATCAGATTGCTAGGAAGAAAACACTTTGTAAATTTTTAAGTGCTAAATAAGTTAATTAATGTCCCTCCCCCTTTTTTTTGTATTAAGTGTAAGAGTTTACCATAGCAGAGCGTCATAGCAAATGAACTGTGGGGTCAAGAAGGAAACAAGTTTCCTGCGCTATGAAGGTCATTGTAGGCAGCCACAAAAACAGAGTTCTGGCTTCTGGGTTTGTGCCCTAACAGCCCATTCTACTGTAAAGGTGGAATTTTTTTCTTGAATAGAAGAGAGATCAAGAGTCAGTTTAAACCATCCTTTATTTTAAGGTGTCTGGTTTTTTTTTTTTCTTGAGTGACTTTCCCTGTGTGTCTTTGTTCATTCTACACTGTGTTTTAATTATCCTGAGGAAGCCTGGTTCATTAGGCTGAGCTGTGAAGCTACCTGAGATCTGGAGCTCAGGGAATGCCAAAATCCTGGGTATCATAAGATCAGTGAACATTACAATCAAAGACCTTATGACTAAGGTAAATGATGGCTTTGTCTGAGATCACAAGGACCTGACATCACTCATAAATGCATTCAATAAATATTTCTTAAACATCTACTATGGGAATCCCTGCCCTCACAAAGCTTATAGTCTATTGGGGTTTGAGGGAATAAAGCACAAACACAAATCAATCTCATATTCAATATCACATGACAGATGTGTTAGAGGAGCAAAATAACAAAATGCTATGTGTGGTCTAAGATCAGAAGATCAAATTTTATTACATTCCACTTGAGATCTGGCATTTCCCACATCAAATCATTCAGCTTTGCTGTAAAATAGTTCAACAAAGTGTCTGTAATTATCCTGAAGTTCACTCTGAACCATGAATCCCCATATTAACGTGTATTAGATGCTAACCACATTTGTGCATCAAGCTGGCTTTGGTGATGATGTTTTAGAGTGAGGGAGTTGATTGGTGGCATATTTGAATCTGTTCTAACAAAGCATGTTATTACAAGTTTCCACTCCTCATAAAATACCTTGAACCAGGCTACTAGTGCTGTGGGGAAGACACTCCACGATTCTAAAATAATCTAGTCCAACCTGATCCTCATTTTACAAAGAAGAAACTGGGGCCAAAGAAAGAAGTCACTTACCCAAGGTTGTAGACTATTACATCTAGAGCTAGAAGACGCTGCAGAAACCATGGACTCCAATTCCCTATTTTGCAGATGGGGAAGCCCAGGGAAGGGAAATGATTTGCCCAACCTCATACAACCCTTTCCCCTATACCACATACGTAGCAAATAGCTCAATGAGGCATTGCCCCCAATTCCTCCTGATTCCAATTCCCATTCTCTTTCTTTCTACTTTATTAGGCTACTTGCTTCTCCGGGCTTTCATTCATCAAAAGAAAAAAGTCACTTATGCGCAGCTGCTTTTATCAATGACCTTTATAATGGGCTATATTTTTGTTGCCGTGGGCTATTACCTTATTTTCTTGCCAACTGTAAGGAAGACATCAAAGGATATTTTCCCTTCGTGAAAATTGCAAAACTCTTCAGCCCTCAGTTGTATAAACAAAATCATGCTGAAGGGAGCCAGCTTGTGACTGTCTCCTTGGTGCAGTCCTGGGCTGTCGAGCTGCCTTTCTGTTCGCTCTTCCCCCTTGGCAGGCGGCCTCTGAATTAGGGGACTCAGATGACAGGCTCTACTTTTTAAGAGCTTGGGAAGCAGATTTCTTAAGTCCTGGCATTTCCTGTTGTGAGGCCTCTCAGCCTCTGCGCACGCACTGAGTGGGCCCTTTTTCATTGCTAAGGCACAGGAGAAAAAGCCATTCCCTCCTGGATTCAAGGAAGAGAAGAGAGAAAAGGGAATGCATACTAAGAGTTTGCCTACCTTTTGAACATCTTTTTTATTATGAACCTAGCAAACAAGAGCATTTCAAATGCAAAACAGAAAAGAGTATAAGTATGAAAAATATGTGTGTGAGATATATGTAGCACATACAATCATGCATATGAAACAATAATATTTGTATATTATATTATGATATATTATATATCTTAATATATTATACTATGATATATTATATAACATATCTTAATATATTATACTATGATATATTATATAATGTATCTTAATATATCATATAACATTATATAACATCACCATATGTTAACATGATAACATAACACATTAACATATGTTAATGTTTCATATACATGATCATATATGCAACATTAAGATAATATGTAACATATGTTCATATATGAATATCTAAATAATATAGATGAAATCTAATATGAGAACTTTTACGTATAGTTTAGTTTTTCTTACAGTACCTGTTAAGATTTCATAGTAGTAACAAAACTGCCCTGAAAGATTGGATCCCCTTCTGAACTTCCTTCTGCTTTCTTCAGGATCTTTTTAAACATTTCTCTTGCACTCCTTTCTTTTTTTTCTTTTTTTTTTTTGCATTACCATAATTATATAGAAACTCTCACCTTCCCCAAACCCTATAAAAGCTATCCTTTATAATGAATATGTGGGCAGCTAGGTAGTGCAATGGGTAGAGCACCCTCTCTGAAGTCAGGAAGACCTAAATTCAAATCCAGCCTCAGAAATTTACTAGCTGTGTGACCCTGGGCAAGTCACTTAACCCCATTTGCCTCAATTTCCTCATTTGTAAAGTGAGCTAGAAAAGGAAGGGGCAAACCACTCCAGTATCTTTGCCAAGAAAACCCTGATGGGGTCATGAAGAGTCAGACACAACTGAAATGACTGAACCCCCACCTCAGAGTCCTCTCTCTCACTTTAAGACAACTCAAGCACCATCTTCTGCGTGAAATCTTCCTGGTCCCCCAACTACTAATGCACTTCCTCCAAGCTGGGCTGTATTTAACTAATTTTGTAGATTTATATTTATTCACTTTATATATCTGATGCATACATGTATAGGTATCAGCTTCCCCTCCTCCTTCCATTTAAATGTAAGCTCCTTGTGGGTAGAGGTTGTTTCATTCTTTATATTTTTTATCCCTCTGACCTAGCATAGTGCCTAGCACATAGTAGTCATTTAATTATTAATAAATTTAATAAATTAATAGTTGTTGATTGATTAATAGCAGCATATATGTATATGTATGTATTGGTAGGTCAATGCGTATGCAAAGTTCAGTAGCTTTGAGTCCAAATTGCTCTCTACCATGTTTGGACAATTCACTGCTCCGTCACTTATGCTCTGGTTTACTTGTATCCCCCCCTCCAATGACTGCCATTTTCTTTCTCCATCATTTTGGTTCCCCAAATCTTTCTCCTCTGATGTCTCCTCTTTTCTCTCTACATTGTCTCACTTGGTGCCTCACTGGTTCCAATAAGTTCAGTTGTCATCCCTATCATCTTCCTGGATCTATAGATCCATCCCCAATCTCTCCCAAGCTCTACCATACCCTAAACCCTTTTTCTTCCTCAGCAGAGGACTTTACCGCATACTTTACTGAAAAATAACTGAAGGTAATATCAATAAAGATCTTTTTAAAAATAAATTCAAGATATATGGATAAGTCCAAACATACCTGGATAACTTTAGGCCCATTGTCATCTACTTATGGGCATAAAACACAAGAGCTCTACTTAAACAAAGGAATAATTAGCATTGACAATGGAGATGTAAATAGTATGTGATTTACTTCACATATACCATAAAGCATAGACCCTTGCCTTATTACTCCATTTTGTTCCACAAGGATATATTGCCTTACTTCATTGATGAAACACCAGAAAATTCACATAGTGTCACCTTTTTTCAGGAAGAAGAAGATGATGGATTACCTAAGAAAAAGTGGCCAACAGTAGATGCTTCTTATTATGGCGGTCGAGGAGTTGGAGGCATTAAGAGGATGGAGGTAAGTACATAGTTTTACAGAGGTATCCCTTTATAACAGGTTGACTTTTCCAGGAAGACCCATTAAGATTCTACCAGTAAACAAAAGAAGGATGGGACTTCAGAAGTTTAAGGTTCTGAAAAGCCATGTACTACCTCCCACTCCATGAAGAAAAATTCCCTGTGATACTTGACATAGCTGTGTAGAAAGGTGGTTATTGTACTTCCTATAAGGATAAATATGGTCACAAAATATTAAAAAGGACAATAGGATCAGACAAGGACAAAATTTGGGAGGAAATAACCTGTATGTTGATGAGGACAACAACTTTAATTTGTCTTCCCAAAAGAGCAGTAAAAAATTGGATTTGGAAGTAAAGGACCTGGGTTTGAATATTATTGTTACCTAGGGCAAGTCACTAAACCTCTGTGGGCCTCAGTTTCCTCATCTGAAAAGATTAGAGGATCTCTATGGCCTCTTCATAGCTCTACTTTCCATGATCTGTAAATTGGATTTTCACTAAATTTTCTAAAAGCATACTTACAAAAAGTATGGCTATAAATTCTCAAGATGAAAGTACTGAGTTTTATAATACAAGACACTTCTGGTATAATAAAAAGAGCACCAAAAGTCATTATAACAAAGGGCTAATGTTGGATTTGCCAACAAACTAGCTGTGTGACCTCATGCAAATCATTTAGCCTCTCCGGGCCTCAGTTTCTTTATCTCCAAAATTAGCCAGATTTTCTCTGAGGTCCCTAGGAGTCATGAGTGGTTAGTGCATAGGGTTAAAATATTATTTGATTAAATCAAAGTGTAACTTAGTTACTGGTGACATATCATACTAATAGGTCATAGAGGTATTAGGGATATTGAGTATCATTTAGTCTAATCCCCTCAGAGATGGGAAATGACTTGCCCAAAAATCACATGTCTGGTAAGAAGCAGAACCAGGATTTGAATCCAGGCCCCCACTATGGTGACATATTTCCCAGAAAATATCAAATATGGCAAAAGATGAAATAGCAAAAAACAGCCACAGATTAAACTTGTTTTGGGTGTGATATAGAAAGCCTAGACTGTGTGGAAACCTCCCTGATCACAGTAATTTCTACAAGGTTTAATATGTTTAGAGCTCCATGGGCCTCGATCTGGTAGGTGACCCCAGTATAAGGAGTACATAATCATTTACTCTCTAACCTAGACAGAATAGGGAGACCTGGCAGCCTGGCTTTTCTCTTCAGTTTCCACCAGGGACCAGATATCAGGTTCGGTAGTTGGGATGCCTATATTCACACTTACATGGTAACAACCTGTGAGGAAGGGACCATAGGAAGTATAGTTTTATACGCACATATGACCAATTGCAAATCTCTCACCTTCCCCTCCTCCACACTCCCATGATCTCCTGTTCCCTTTCCTGTCCTGTCCCCCAAAGCCAAAAGGAATTTCAGAATCATGGAATACAAAGTATTATCACAATCAGGAAAACAGAGCAACTGATCGGTAAAGCAGGAAGGCAACAGGGGGTGCTGGACATTAGAGTACACCAGCTTCCTTTCCTTTACTGAGACTTTCTTTAGGGAGAGCATAAAAGCAAGACCACTCCAAAGCACTGGGCTAGGGTTCTGAAGGGGCAACTAGGTGGCACAGTAGGTAAAGGGCCAGGTCTGGAGTCAGGAAGACTCATCTTCCTGTGCTCAAGTCCAGCTAGCAGTGTGATCCTGGGCAAGTCACTTCACCCTATTTCCTCCCTCATCTGTAAAATGAGCTGGAGAAGGAAACGGCAAATCACTCCAGTATTTCTATCAAGAAAACCTTAAATGGGGTCACGAAAAGTCAGACCTGACTGAAACGACTGAATGAGTATTCCTCCTGCTATCTCCAAGTGTCAGAATAGTCTATATCTATAGGTTACTTCTCTCTATAACCCTTTAAGAGTTACAATATGTTTTCCATACAAAGGAGTTATAGTATTGGTATTATTTTCCCTATTTTTCAGAAGAGGAAATTGAGAATTAGAGAAATAAAATGACTTGCTCATGGTCTCCTAGGCAGTAAAAATGTCAAAGAGAGGAGTTAGACCTAGAGCAATCCGATTCTAGGACTCTTTCCATAAGGAGCAGACAGACATGTTCGCATTCATCTGCTGGGCCAGCTCCTTTATCCCCAAAGCAAGAGGTTCCTAAAGGCAATGTTTGTCTGTTTTCGGTTCTTTCCTAAGGTTCGGTGGGGAGAAAAGGGATCGACAGAAGAAGGAGCCAAGCTAGAAAAGGCCAAGAACGCCCGTGTCAAGATGCCAGAGCAAGAGTTTGAATTCCCCGAGCCTCGAAACCTCAACAACAACTTACGTAGGCCCTCTTCTCCCAGGAAGTGGTATTCTCCAATAAAGGTACTATTTCAGCTAATGTATAGTAGAGGAACATAAGAACTGCTACAACTGTTTCATGGGCCCCAGGGCTCTGTCTGCTATGGTGATATTGAGACATATATTGGAGAGATGCTTTCCATGACATCAACTTAACAAGATTAAACATTTGTATCAGCTCTCCTTAGCTTCATTTAGTTGCCTATTATAGATCTACTATTCAGTCAGTTAATAAACATTTATAATTATATATTATATATCATATATATTATATATTATATAATATTTATAACAATCATTAGTTATTAGAATATTTCTAATATCACTAATTATTAGAATGTTTATAATAAAAATTATCTCCTTATTATTAACATTTATTATTTATATAATGTAGGTAACATTAATAGTAGAAGCAGCATCTATATAATAAGAAAGAGCCTCACATTGCTCTAAGTCAGACCATCTCTAGTAGTGGTCATACAATGGAGACGTAGAAAGCACCTTAGAGATCACCACTCCCACATTTTCCACATGAGGAAAATGAGGCTGGTATAGAGAAGAAAGTGATGCACCCAAGGTCAGATTGGTACGTCTTTCTAACACCTTCAATTTTAGAGTGTGCTCCCTTTCTAATAAACCATGATTAGGTTTTGTTCTGGGCACCACTTTTTAAAAAAGACATTGATAAGACAGCACATCCAAAGGTAGGCTTCCAGAATGGTGAGGAAATTCAAAGCCATTCCATTTAACAATTAATGGGTGGAAGGAACTGGAAATATTTAACACAGAAGAAAGAAGATTTAGAGGAAGACATGATCCCTCTGTTGATTCATTTGAAGGCTGTTAGACACAGAAAAGGAAGCAAATTTATTGTGTTGCTCCAAACGAATCAGTTTTACTTTTGTCCTTATGACCTCATGCCTAGCATAGTACCTGTCCTATAGCAGAAAATTCATAAATGCTTGTTGCTTGCTAGATCGAGTAACCAATGATATCACGAGGGTGATGTCTTGCTTCATGAGTGAATTGGATTTCAGTGAGGCAGAGCTGGACAGTCATCAGTCTCCCTCTCTCCTCCAGAGTCATTGAATTTCAATGGCAAGACAAAAGTCAAGACGACTGATGATGGCCCAAGATACAGTGGCTGACCTTATTCTTTCTACATTAAGGTCTTTCTCAGATCTGTTTGTCTGGGGCCGTGCCCATTCAAAGACTAAGGGCTAGGTAAGAATCAAGAAGAAATAAGGTAGAGGCAATAAGTATACACAATGTTTTCTAGGACTTTGGTCCAGAAAGGGAGGAGAGAGACTGATAGCTTGAGGGGATAAGAAGGGCTGATTCTCAAATGGTTCCTAAGAAAGTTTGAATTCTGACAATTATACCAATTTACTGGCTCTCTGGACCTCCCTTCATTATGACTTTCTAGGGTCTGGAGTAATGGAGAAGAAACCTTGTTTTATCCTAGTCCTTTATTATGCCCAGGTAGTGGTTATAGAGAATACATTTGCTGCATAAAACATAACTCTTATATGTTAGAGTACTGTTATGGAACCTTCCTCACCCTACCCAGTCCTTTGCGTTTTTCAGTTTAATTTCTCTGAATTTACTTCAGATCTGTTATGTCTTTTCTGTGGGCAGGAGAGAGTAGACAGGCAGAGTATAAAGTGTGGTTTTCCTGAGGATGTCAAGATAAGTTAATAACATAAAAGTAAAAGCTACATCATACCCATCATGAAAGTGAAAGAAACAATAGTTTTGAAGTCAAAGGACCTGGGTTTGAATTTAAGCTTTGCTGTTTACTACCTGTGTGATCATGGGAAAACTGATTAACTTTTCTGGGCCTCAGTTTCCAACCCTGAAAAAGTGAGGGGTTTGAACTAAATGATCTCAAAGGCCTCTTCCAACTGTAAGACTCCATGCCAAGAATATACTCCCTTCCTTCCTCCTCTTGTTAGAATCCCTAGCTTCATTCAGGGATCACTTCATGTATCATCTCCCATTGAAAGCCTTGCCTTATTCCCCTAGTTGCTAGTGCTGACTCCTTGCCTATATATGCTTGTTTCTATAATGTATACCCCCAGGAACACGGTAAGGTCTTTAAGGATAAGGATTGCTTTTTTGTTCTCTCTTTGTATCTCCAGCATCTAGCACAATGCCTTATAGTGAATGTTCAATAATGACTTGTTGGATTGAATTGGATTGAGTATTCTCAATTGTGATAAAATCACAATTTCAGACCAAAACCAAAGTGAAATTCAAGATGCAGCAGGATAGAGTGGAAAGAATGCTAAGCTTGGATGTCGGCCGTCTGCATATGAATTCTAGCTGTGCCATTTATTAGTTACATAACCCATGGGTGATTCATTTAATCTCTTTGAGCCTCAGTCTACTCATCTATAAAATGGAGATAATAATAACTGCCCTGTCAACCCAGAATTTGTTTTGATGAAAGCATTTAGTCACCTTAAATAAAGTGTAACAAGAGGACAACTGGGAGATAAAATGTCACAAAACTCCAAAGAGGGCACAGTACCATGAAGGAAGGGGGGTGGTCAACAGTGCCTAATGATGCATCATGGTCAATAAGGTTAAAGACAGAGAAAAGGCCATGGAGTTTAGCTGTTAATAGATCATTAGTATGTTTGGAAAAGACTGGTTTTACTTAAGTGAAGTCAGAAGCCAGATTACAAGGTGCTGATGAATGAGTCAAAGATCCCAACACCAAGTACTGACAGCTTTTCCCAGGAGTTTGGCTATAAAATGGCAGAAAAGCATAGTACAGTAGCTTGAGGGGATGGTAGAATCAAACAAAAGTTTCCTAAAGGTGGGGGAGATAAGGATGTGTTTGTAAGCTGTAGAAAAATGGTAGTGGATAAGGAAAGATTTAAAATTAAGGTGGGGAAAAGATAAGTTCTTGTAGGAGATAGAAAGGGATAGAGGGAATAAGTACAGAGACTTACACTGAAAAAAATGGGCCACTTCATCTGCCAACACTGTAGCAAAAGGCAGGGGGAGAGAGGGGGAGAGGAGCGGGGGGAAGAGTAAGAGGTAACATTGAGGTGGCAAAGGGTGGTAAATTGTGACAGATGGCCTCAATTTTTCAAAAAGAATGAGGCAGAGTTCTCCCCACTAATGCAGATCTCAGCTTCTTTATGTCTGAGACCAAAAGAAGTCATCATACAATAGCCAACATTCTGCTGATAGATCTCTCTGCACTTGACTGGGCCGAGGGGAGCAGAGAGGGTCCTCTGGAGGTTCTACATGGGATTCTTAAAGACCATATCTGTAGTGTATGTGCTCCATTTATCAAGTTGGAAAGGTTTCTAGTACAGCCTGGCTCCAGATCATGTATCTCTGCCCTGAGAATCAGCCTAGTATTAATACATACATTGAGACCTAAAAAAATCTAGATTTATTTACCTAGTTTCATGAAATATATTTCAGAGGAAGTAGAAATGTTAAGAAAAATTGCAAGGTAAAAAAGACAGGCTGTATTATGTCGCATCAGTACAACATAAATTGTTAATGGAACTGGCCTTAATAATCTCTTTTTTAGTCTCATTTTAAAGGGTTTAAGGCATTAAATTCTGATTGCTTTCACTCTCTTACCAGTCCAATCTCCTTTGTATTTTTTTTTCAATTGCATGACCAGGAAGTTTCCTCCTGATGTTTGGCTTGAATTTCCCTTTGCTCAGCTCCTCCCCAACCCCACTTCATTTATAGCATGCCATGTCTCTGATTAAAGCAAGGCAGCTCATTCCCTCTAGGTTCAGAGCAATACCCAAGTGTATGGTCATCCAGTAGATTAAAACCAGGAGAGTACTGAATTTAATAAAATCAGTTTGTGATGTTTTCTGCCCTTCAACTGAGGGCACAAATGGCATATGAATGACAAACAAAAAAAAAAAGGTTTTTTGCTACCTAGAAGGATGGTCTATTTACTAGAAGCACAACTAATCACTGCCTACTTTTATGTACAGATTCTGTAAAACTGTCTTATCTGACTTTACTTATGTGCTGTCTATGTTACAATATGCTGTCTCTGTACCGGCCACTAAGGCATTAGCCAAATTGTCAAACTCTTGTACATGAACAGCTACAGTAGATGCACCATATTAAGATGACATTGGATCCGCCAAAGAAATCGAAATGTTAGCAGATGGTGCTGCTAATACCCAACACATTTTCTCCCCACTCCAGCAACTTATCAGTACAATGCCAACTCATATAAAAAGAAAGAATCCACATTCTTTCAAATGTTTAACAAGTTCATAACTATGTACTCTAATCTTGTAAATTTAAGGGGAAAAGTTGGTCAGAATAATTTACTATATATCATGAGATATTAAATTCAGATTGTAACCAAGAGCCGAAGCCCCACTCCTACCATCACCACCCATCTTTAAAACGTCAGACTAATTCCACTTCCTACCAGGACAGATTGACAAACTGAAAGTAAGGAAAATATAGTTGAGGCCTGCAGAGACACAAAGAACCAATAACAGTGAGCCAAGGTGTTCCAAATGATAACTGAAGAAGTATTTTATTTGCAGTCTTACTATGGTATAAGGGGAAAAGAAGTGAACCTGAAGTCAGGAAAACCTTGGCTCTGGTTCTGGTTCTATCATTGATTTGATTTGTGACTTTAATCAGATTGATTGACTTGCCCAAGGTTACAGGCAGGTATTGATTTAGTCAAAGAATCACAAAAGATTTGCCATACAATTAGAACAACTCAATACTAAACTATTTAAACAACTAATTAATAGTCAAAAAGGGAGAAGGGCAACAGAAATGACCTCAACATTGATTAGAATAATTTTATTCAGAGTGTTAACCAATGAAAATTAAATGCCTCAACAAGGAGATCAAAACAGCCCAGGAAGTACCTTAATCAAGAAATGTCTGTCATACTTGCCAGAGAAAGATAGCTTCCAAAGGTAATAGTGGATTAGAAGGTTAACTCATGTGTAAAATTTTACAAAGAAACATGGTGGATAACTATGAGCAGAATTATCTCATAA